GCCCGCAGGGTAGAGACCACCGTGCTTCCGTGTAGATGCCAGAACGTAGAAACCAAATGATAGGGCTTAATGCAAATTTCAACTAATATTGGAAATAACACAGAAATAGGCCAAAACCCTCTTCAAAATGAGAGAGAAAAACCCACAAATATGAAAAGCGTCAGTAAACCAATCCTAAATTTTGATGGCATTTCAATGTTTAGCCGTTCCACGGACAGCACTTTGCCAGTTATTGATCTATCTGATTTCTACGCCACATGCAGAGCACAGGCTGCTTCACCTACCATGTCTGCCGCTAAACAAAATCTGGTCCCCAGACCCTAAGACTCATGCGTCAGAAGCCTTCAACCTTCTGTGTGGCCTTTGTCCCCAACCTTTTTGGCTCCCAGCTTTCATTATGAACTTTCCCTTGTCATCATCCAAGTTCCAAGGCTCACAGCTAATCTGGGCTTATATTTTCCTTCAGTCTGACGTCTCGTTCCTCATTGATACAAAGGGGTAGAGACTGCTGACTAACTGCTCTAAATATTAAAAATAGAGAAAGTTTTTAACTGTCAGAGCAATAAAAATATTATCTGTTTATGATTAAATATGGTATGCATGATCATTTCTATGGAAAGGCCCTTCCTTGGAGGCCTTTATGATTAAATTTACTCAAAAAATCAGATTCAGTGTTTTATTTGGCTGCATCAGGTTTTAACTGTAGCATGCAAACTGTTAGTTGCAGCATGTGGGATCCAGTTCCCTGACCAGGGACTGAACCCAGGCCCCCTGCCTTGGAAGCATGTAGTCTTAACCACAGTACCACCAGAGAAGTCCCCTAGATTCAATATTTTAGTAGGAGTGTTTTTTATTTTCTTTTTGCCCCAAGATTATGACCAACATAAATTCAAGAAGAATCTGTGTAACAGTAAAGTTTCATGTCTAAAACATCTAGTGTACTCTTTACTTTTTTTTTTTACAAATAGGTGTAAAAATGATTTTTATATTAGTAGTAGAAGAGTCCAATCCTATGAGTTAATATACAACCTAGGTAAGGGAATGTCCTGGTTGTTCAACAGTTGGGATTTCAAGCTCTCAATGCCAAGTGCCAGCGTTCAATTCCTGGTCAGGGAGCTAAGATCCTAAGACCCCATAAGTTGTGTAGTGTGGTCAAACAATAAAAACCTAGGTAAATTATGTCCTTCTCTATAAACAATCCAAATCACATTGAAACAGTCTGGGCCTATCTTTAATACCTAAAATTATCAAAGAAGTCAGCAACTGAAAAATAATATTAACCCAAGTTACTTTTCTATGACTTTACTATAAATAGGCTTTGCTATTTGTAGAGTGGGGCACTTTTAGAAGTAAGAAAATTTAAGAATATAGCAATTCCTATTACAGTTCATTAAATACATGGATTTGGAGGACATTAGGGCAATAAACATTAATGTTGTCCTGCCCATTATGTACGGAAAACCAAACGTTCCTTTAAAAACTATTTCTACAACTGCACCTTCAGCTGAGATAACTTTCATCCACTGCTTACCAGCCCCAATGCAGCTGCAAATGATGCCTCTGAAGACCTTAGGGGAAAAAACGCCTTCCTCAAGACACTTCACTACCCTTTGCCTGTCACTGTCTAAATACACCAACCCACCTACCACGACACAGACGTAAACAGCAGGGCAATGCCTGGACCACTGAGTGACCACAGCTGCTCTGCTTACAGGCTTGGAAAAATACAGACAGTCTACACGATTTCCGTGTTCGTCTATGCCAAGTGTCCGCCCTGGCCTTTCCCTAAATGGGAGTGACAGCAACCCCTGCCGTACTCCTGCCTTACTTTGCTCACCCTCCTTCTGATCATACAGACACTAAATTTACTTTAAATAAAAGAAAAACATAACGATATGTTGTAGATTGCTTCGAGAACCCAAACTGTACTCCAAATAAGAGTTTAGCTTTATATGTAACCTTATAAGTGACATGACAGCCACTGTGCAAATATCCATGTTTCAAAACTTGGTAAGTACCTAAAAGGTTTACAACGAAACTCATAAAACATCTTACTACTGACACGGCTTGCAGTGCGGCAGAGTGGGCATGCCGCCACTGACAGTCACAAAGGAATTCATGAGCTCCACAAATGTTAAAAATCTCATCAAGGAACAATACTCATGCTTGAACAACCAAAATAAAGAACAATCCTCATCTGTCTAAAAAGAAAACAAAAATAAAAAATAAACACAAAATGCTGGCCTAAATGTCAACTGAGGAATCCAATAAAGCTCATGAAATCTGGAAGCCAAATGGCAGATTTTCTGCATGGACACCACCCTTCCCACAGGGTGGTATCAAGGCAATTTCAGGAGAATTAGTTAAAAATATGACAATGTTGTTTAAAGTGTTTTAATCCAGAACTAGCTGTTTAGGGTAAATTATCTTCAAAATGAGTTGAAATTTTCAAGAGAATGGTCAGGTTACTGATAACCAATTTCCAGGCTAATGTGAGAAAAACATAGTAAACAGAGAGAGTCACCCATGAACTGGATGTTTTATAAAACCAGGCTGCTCCTAACACCTAGTCCACAGGATGCTTTGGCCAAACCTCAGTGTTCGCTGGACAGGGAAGCATCTCTGACTCACTGTCAACCTTAAGGCAGGACCAGCAGAGGGCCCTTCAGGACTGTTCCTAAGGCAACATCCCCAGAGGAAACAAACAACTTGGATGCAGCAAAGGTCACCAGGTGCAACATGAAGAAATAACCTATAAATAGCGCGGGCTTGTCACTCAGTCTGAAACACCTCCCTCCTCATCCCATTACAGCCCTGACTCGCCAGCATCTGACAGCCAGAGTAACTTGTGTCACCTTTGAAAATAATTAGAGACGGGAGCCAGTGTGTTCATGGAATAGGTCTGAACTGCAAGTCCTCTTTCGTGTCGAACAGCAGTTTTCAGAACATCGGGTTCCCTTTCCACAAGTTATAACAAGCTATCACTTGGAGCTGACATGGCTGGCAATCAAGAAAGACAGCCATAGGGTTCCTCTGCCATGCTGGGAACTCAGTCTGTAGATTTCAGCCATACAACAGACCTGTTGTATGGTATCATAATGATGAAGTTGCTGACCTCGGTTCTCTCTAAGATGCATAAACTTCAAGGCACATTCATTATAGCATTATTTATAATAAAAGGTATCAAAAACTTACCCTTTACAATTATTAACCAGATTGTGGAAAGTTCAAATAACTGAACATTAAACAGACATCAAAATGCATAAAGAGTAAGTCTCTATAAAGATTTTCTGACATTATGAGCCAAGCACATACATACTCTTTAACTGAAATTAGCAAGACATTAAATTGTTTATTAAGTATGTTCTTAAGTATGTAGAACACATACATGTAAGGTTAAATGGGAAAATTAGAAAATTAGAATATAAAATTAGAATATTAAAGGATCATTATCTTGGATGAGACTTCAGGTAATATTTTCCTTCTCTTTGATCATTTATATGGTAATTACCATTATTTTTTACATTAAAATTATATTTAATTTTTAACATATAACAATGCTTAAATATTTCTTGCCTCTACTCACTTCAAAGTTCAGAAATAGAGTCAGATCCCCCAGAAAGGGAGCAGATAGTAGGTCATATGTTTGAAGGAAAGAGAAGAGTATTCTAGTCAATTCTCTATCTCTTTGGGAAACAGAATCCCAGGGATGACAGGGCTCTTTCACAGGGTCACACCAAGCCTCCCGGGCAGAATTCCAGGATGGGCGACCACCCACCAGCCTGCACTGCCATTTAAATCAGTTATGAAATGCAGGAAACAACCATACCTACCTCAAGGGACAGTTATGAAGTTAAATGATTTATATATAAAGCTTTCCAAATGATGCCTGGCAAAAAAAGCACTACCGACAAAGCCTCGTTCTCTCATCACTGCAATATCACTACAACTATGACTTCTGTTATGATCAAAGCCCCCATCAGCACCCTCAACGTCCCAGTTACACTGTAGGAACAACAAACAAACAGGCAACGGTGCCTCCTTCCCTCATGGGCCATCCTCCCAGGACAGTAATGCCAGCAGGAGGGCGGGGAGGCTGGGGGCTGGGGCGGTGCTCCCATGGGAGGCGGTGCCTCTGGCCCTCCTTTCTGCCACCCCAGCACACCCCCACACCTCTGTACCTGCCCCGGCCAATAAAAACGTACTCTCCGTATCTCACGCACTCTTTCTTAGAAAAATGTGTAAAATACATTCTTCACATGTCCCTCATCCATTCAGAATGATTTATCAAGAATATATCATAATAAGTTTATAAGAGAGTTAGGTTACAGAAGGTGAGGCTCAGAGGGGAACCGATTGCTACCCTTTAATAAATTTAGTCAATTTAAATAAAGTATGTGTTCAGTCATTTTAAATAAAGATACTTAGTTAAGATTTTAAAATCTTTAGACAAAATTAAAATATTTAATTGTAAAAAATATATAATCAGGGGGAAAAAATAACTCCTGAAACTCAGTGGTCCCAGGAGGCCTCAGGAACCCACCCACAGGCAGTTGCATTTGTGGCTGGGGAGCCCTGACCCTCTCTGACTACAGATGATTGGAACCGGGTAACAGCTGTTCCCCAGCCCACCCCCCAGATTGTGGCCTGAAGGTCAGAAGAAAAGACACAGACACGGCCATCAAATGGTACGGATGTCAGTGACACAGGTCACAAATCAACAGTCAGCACCTGGGAGCCAAAGTCACAGCGAGAGCCTGGGAGAGGGGAAGGGTCACAGATGTACTCTTCACCCTTGCCCTTCATTACAGAGGTTGGAATAGTGTGTACAACACAGGAGAGCCCTTTCTTAAGATTCATACCAACACCCACAGGGTACTGCCCTACTTTGTGTCAGGAGAATAGGAAATTAAAGCAGAGAGGAGTTCTGCAAAAGGACTCATTCTGCAAAAGGATTTCAAGCTCTATGGATCATCTACTCCAGAACGTCTATACAATACCTGCTTCGTGGAAGAAACATGGATTCCTTGATGAACACGGAACCAGAGAGAAGGATGTACCAGCAGGTCCCAATATCATCAGGACTGAAAAGAAAAGACAGTAACATCAGATGATTATCTCCAACAAATAGAAATAAAAACACACAAAGCACACTGCACCCATGTTAATCTCAGAATCGTGAAGAACAATGAAATACCATAAAACACGTACCAAAATTACCATTCTTCAACCACTAGAATCATGTTTAAAAATGATTTTTCACAGCCAAATAACCTAACGATATCTATCAGTATATTTAAACCTACAGCATGTGCTATTTTCATTCCAAGTTTTATTTTTTAGTTTAATTTTTTGAGCTGAAAATACTTTGTTTCATAAAAAAGAAAAATACAAAGAGGTAAACAGTAGAACTGAGTTTTCCCACCCATCTCCCCTGTCTACCAAGCCCCCACATTTCTCTGCCACAGCTGTGGGCATCATTTAGAACTTCCTCATGCACACAAGGATGGACAAACACTCATTCCCTCCACCCTCTTTCCTTCTTTATACAGAAAAGAGGGCATATGCTATGGCGTTCCTTCCTATGTGCTGACGCAGAAGTCTTTTCATCAGAAGACAGCTCTCTTAAGATGTGGTTTATCTGACTTAAGCAAGCCCCTGCATGTGCGCGTGCGAGCTAAGTTGCTTCATTCATGTCTTACTCTGTGATCTCATGGACTGTAGCCCGCCAAGCTCCTCTGTCCATGGGATTCTCCAGGCAAGAATACTGGAGTGGGTTGCCCATGCCCTCCTCCAGGGGATCTTCCTGACCCAGGGATCAAACCCATGTCTCCTGTATCTCCTGCACTGCAGGGGGTTCCTTACTACTGAGGCACCGGGGAGCCAATCAAGCCCCTCCTGCCCCTCATTTCAGCAGTTTCTAATGTATGCAATCATTTAAACATAAAATGAAAGCTGTAATGAATGATCTTGTACCTACAGGAGTAACTGTGATTAGTAACTAGATGTGCAGCTGCTGAGTCAAAGGGCACAGACAGTGTAACTCTGATAAATATTGGGTAGTTATTGAGTAACTCCGGAGAAGGCAATGGCACCCCACTCCAGTACTCTTGCCTGGAAAATCCCGTGAACGGAGGAGCCTGGTAGGCTGCAGTCCATGGGGTCACTAAGAGTCAGAGTGACTTCACTTTCACTTTTCACTTTCATGCACTGGAGAAGGAAATGGCAACCCACTCCAGTGGTCTTGCCTGGAGAATCCCAGAGACGGGGGAGCCTGGTGGGCTGCCGTCTATGGGGTTGCACAGAGTCAGACACGACTGAAGCGCCTTAGCAGCAGCAGCACTGAATAACTCAGGAGCCCACCATCTCCCCAAGGCCGTGCTAGTAGAGTCTATTTATGTAATAAATATTAAACAAATTTTCAATGAGGGCTGTTCTAGGTGCCTAGGGGACTTCAGGAAACAACAGCAACAAAGATCCCTGTCCTCCTAGGGCTTATATTCTGGTTGGGCAATACACACAAAAATAAATACACTTAACTTCCCTGGCTAATCAGTGCTTAAGACTCCGTGCTTCCAAGGCAGGGGGCGTGAGTTTGATCCCTGGTCAGGGAACTATTAATGAGAACCCATATACCACGTGGCATGGCCAAAAAGCTAAAAAATAAATAAAAGAAGAAATAAACAATAAATATAATAAATTTGTAAATTATAAATCCATGCTCTGGGGAATAAGTTAGTGTAGGGCAAGGAAAATGGGAGTGGGTTGTGGTCATTTTAAATGCTCCCTGAGCAGAGCACAATGGTCTCACTGAAAAGAGCACATGTAAGCAAAGGGATGAGGGGTGAGGCTTCTCAGCCAAGGGCACGGAGGTTGTGTAGGGCCCTCGGGCCGCGCAGGGCGGAGGGGGTGCGGCAAGGCGTGGGGTGAGGGCATTCCATCGCTGAACCTGGTTGTTTATCACACTTTGGGGGTTTTGCCAATCTGCTCAACAAAAACTGTATCTGTTTACTTTTACTTTTCCTCTTATTACTGTAAAAGCACCTTTCTTCTTATGTTCACGAGCCCTACGCATTCCTTTTTCTGTGAAATCATAACTTTTAGCCAGTGCTCTACAAGCCGTGGGACTTTTTCTTATCTGGAAGCACTTTATAAAAATTATCATTCTGAAGACATGAGCTGTGACAACCTTCTCCCCAGCTTGCTGCTTCAGCTTTGACTTTGTTTAATGTGCTTTTTGCCATGTGCTGAGTTCTTTTTATTTTAAAGAACCAAGTTTATCACAGTTATTTGTCAGAGTAGAGCTCAGCTTACTAGGAAAACAGAAAGCCAAACACAGCAGTGGCTGAAGCACGGACAAAGTTCATCTCTTTCACATGGACAGTAGTGAGCAGTGTTGGGAACCAGGCCCTTCCTGCTGTGTGGCTTGGTCACCCCAGCCCGTGGCCCCCATCTCAGACTCTAAGGGTCTGCTCCAAACCTCTCCACCATGCACACATTCTAACCACTGGAAGGAGGTACGCACCCACCCATCTTTCCTGAGACGATGGCATGGAACCTGCATCCTGGCAAACCACATTTGAAATAGTCTGCAGCAACCTCTGCCAAATCTTTTTATTTTGGCAAATGGATTCTGAAAGTTTTTAAAGGACACCAATGCTTCCCAGGTGGTGCTAGTGGTAAAGAACCCGCCTGCCAATGCAGGAGACATAAGAGAGGCAGGTTTGATCCCTGGGTCAGGAAGATCCCCCGGAGAAGGGAATGGCAACCCACTCCAGTATTCTTGCCTGGGGAATCCCATGGACAAAGGAGCCTAAATGGCTACAGTCCATGGGGTCACAATAGAATCAAACATGAATGAAGCAGCTTAGCATACAGGCACACACATAGGTGCTATTTATGATTCTGAATAAGCTATTTAAAACACTAATTAACATCACCTAATCATTTTCATTGCTATCTGCTTCCAACTCAAATCAACAAGTCACTGTTTCCCCCCAAGTCCATCCTCTATTTTACAACTGCTCAGTCCTCAATAGCAAAGCCTCAAGAAATCAAGAAGGAAAATTACTATCAAGTTTAGTTCCAAAGAAACCATCAAAGTAAAATGATTTCACAAATGAAAATGTAAAGTACTTCAAAAAATAATTTATACCCTTTTCTCTCCAGTCTTTACATGAGCTTTTGCAGTTAACACTGTTTCACCTAATTTTGGGGGATGGGAGGGCAAATGTACTTCTCTTCCTATATGGTGACAATATATATTATTAATTCTGATTTCTGTCGAGTAAAGCTCTGTTCTGCCAGATGCAAGAATGATTTAAATTTTTTAATGACAAGTAATAAATCACTTAAACAAAAAGAAGAAAAATAATTATCTTGTAAACTTATCTGCTCTCGCACTTACAAAGCTCCCGTTATCACCAAAAGACTGGTCGATAGAAATGAGATCTAGAAAAGTAGGAAATTGAGGCTGATCACCACTGACTAACTAGGCACGTGACCCAGTAAACACAAATAATGAACTGTTATCAAGGTAAGAAGCACAATAAATGTCACCATGGTCCAGATGAACCATGACACAGAGAATATAACAAACATTCCCTGACTTCTCAGTTATTCCATATAGGTCCATTTGGAAGTAACATTACTCTGGACAAAACGAACACAAGGTTTGTAAACTCAGCTTTCCTGGTGCTGATCAGAAAACACGCATGAAGAAGCAACCCACATCCAAAATGGACAAAATACTGTGACAGTGAACACTCTGGTCCCCTGAACATCCGCCACTTATCCTACAAAAAGGGCTGACGCTTCATACCAGGAAGGCGGCGGCAAAGATTTAAAAAGTGAAGATAAGAAACTGGTCCTCTAGACCTCTGCCACTTACTGTAGTGTCATCTGCCTGATGGATGAGCTGTTTGTCTCCCTTTTCCAAAAACTTCAAATCTTAACTCACAAGAACTGTGTTTGTTGCAGGAGGCATTTGCGGAGAATGACCATTGCAACACTTGACTGGATTTGGTGGGCACGCACTACCTGCCACACCAAATGTGACGGTCAAAATGCCTTGATCTTTAAAAAACTTTTATCAGAATATATTGATTTACAATAGTTTGCTGGTTTCAGATGTAAAGCAAAGTGAATCTGTTTTATATACACATTTGTGAAAGTGAAAGTTGTTTAGTCGTGTCCAACTCACTGTGACCCCATGAATTATACAGTCCATGGAATTCTCCAGGCCAGAATACTGGAGTGGGTAGCCTTCCCCTTCTCCAGAGGATCTTCCCAACCCAGGAATCGAACCAGGATCTCTTCCATTGCAGGCGGATTCTTTACCAACTAAGCTACATATGTGTGTGTGTGTGTTTAAAACATAAACAGTTATCTGTTTTATACATAGTAGTGTGTATATGTCAATACCAATCTCTCAATTTATCCCTCCCTTCCATTACCCTCTGGTAACCATAGCTTATTTTTCTACATTACATCTGTAATTTTATTTCTGTTTTGAAGATAAATTCATTTGTGCCATTTTTTTTTTTTTGTATGTGTGGGTACCAGTGGCAAAAACTTCTATTTTGAAGTCCTTACTCTTTAAAAAAAAAAAACTTATTTTGTGTTGTAGTATGGCTAATGGCATTAGCTTGGCTCAGTGGTAAAGGATCTGCCTGCCAATGTAGGAGATGCAGGAGACACAGGTTCGATCCCTGGGTCAGGATGATCCCCCAGAGAAGGAAATGGCAACCCACTCCAGTATTCTTGCCTGGAACATCCCATGGACAGAGGAGCCTGGCGGGCTACAGTCCATGGGGTTGCAAAGAGTCGGACATGGCTGAGTGACTGAGCACACACATAGCAGATTAACAGTGTTGCAATAGCCTCAGGTGGACAGCAAAGAGACTCAGCCCTACACACACACATGTATATCCATCCTCCCTCAAACTCCCCTCCCATCCAGGCTGCCACATAACAGTGAGCAGGGTTCCATGTGCTATACAGCAGGTCCTCATTGGTTATCCATTTTAAATACAGCAGTGCTGTCTCCTTTTTCAGATTCTACATTTAAGTGATACCATATATT